TGGCTACCAATAATGAATATATATGATTTCTCTGTCCTTCATAAATAGAATCATATAAAGAGCTACTAGGATTCCATACAGTGATCAATGCTTGTCTTTTAAAATTTTTAACAGATTTGGACAGGCCATGATAATCACATACATGCACTTTAAAAAATTGAACAACAGAACGGACTAAGGTTTCTGGCCAAAACTGCTTCTATTAGTAGCCGAAATTGCCCAAATACTTTGGGTAAAATTTATTTTTTTATAAGCCCAAACTACTTTTTGTTATTAGCTGAAATTGGGCAAAATTATTTCAAAGTTGTTTAATTTAAAACAAGTTGATTCATACAGTTTGGACCAGAAACCTTAGAATGGACATCTGAATTCCTTTGAGCTAGTTCTTCACCTTTTTTGTTATATATGATATATATCCCATCTTTCTTTGTTTCATGATATAGCAAAGGATACTTTCGCATTATTATAACATCAATTGCAGGAACAGATCCACCATCTGATATAAGACTCTTCAACATGGCAAATATTTCAAGTTTTCTAAACCCTAATTTGGAATCCCAATGAGCTGGTTTTATTGAATTTCCTGATAACTTCAAATATACAGGACTTGTTGCATCCAATACTGATAATGCCTGTGCTTTTCCATCATGTTTTCCACAAACCCATGCACCGCAAATTTCAAGCTTACAACCTATTTTTATCTTAGACTTCATTATAGCTCGTTGTAATGGTGTATCAATGTAGCATCAATCTCATACCAGCCATCAGTTAATTTAAGTTTCATCATATGAAAGGAGGATGTTGATGATAAAGATAATGGTGTTGATGGAGTGATGTTATCATTGATTATTTCTGATACACAAAGAACCATGGACAATGGTGGTGAAGCATCATCTTCTACTATTAACTTAATAGCAGATTTGTGTCCACAGTTTATTTCTCTTTCATATCTGTGTTTTAATTGATCAAGTACTTTTTCAGAAGATAACCAGTCGTGAAATAAATCAGGATAATTTCTAACCATACTGGCTATTTTCCATATTACCCATTGTTCATCTATGAGTTTAGGGTTAGCACCACATTCGATTAAACATGAGAGTGCCTCAATTGGACCCCATGTTGTTTGTTGTTGGAAATTTGGCTGAGCAAATCTATAATTGATGGCAGTTGATGGATTTACATGTAATGCATCCAGAGGTATCTCCAATTTCAATAAATTTTGATTGGTAAATTTCAATGGATGATGATATGCCAAATTTCCAATATTATTTCTAGGTCCTGACCTGATATCATCAAATCAAATAATATAGTATTTTTAATATCATCTTCAATCAATTTATCCTATTACATAAAATTAAATTTTATTAATTTATCATAACAAAAGTAATATAATTATTACTGTAAAAAGTTCTTGTTGAATTACTTTATCATCACCATCTTTTCCCAAATTTTTTCTTTTCCTGTTATTAACATAAATGATATTATTTTCCATTAAAACTAGAGTGATGATAACCACCACTACCATTCTTACAATAAGCACTTACACATTATTCCTTGTATCTTTTTTGTTTCTTCTTTTGTTTCCTGTAGACATTTTTAATATTTAATATTTTTTATTTTTTAAAAAAAAAACTATTATTGGAACAGGCACAAAAATTTTTTTTTTTTGACGAGTGTTGTTGTTGTTTGGTATGATATGGTTTGGTTCTGAAGATGTGTTAATAACTAATCAGAGATACTATTTTATTTGTATTGATATTTTTATCTTAGTTTATCCCTTAAAATGTAGCACAAATTTTGTGTAAGCATGATGAAATTAAAGACAAAAGTCACCAGTGTTGAAATTTCAGCGGGAGGGTGTAACGTTACACATATCAAAACCATAGGATTTAAACCTATTTTAGCCTATTTTGATATGTGTAACGTTACACCCTCCTGCTGAAATTTCAACACTGAAAGTCACTCATTATCTAATCCAATAGATATTTATATTATTTCATTTTTTTTTTGCACATTATTATAATTCACATGATGTAATTTTATTTGCATAATTTATTTGTATTTTAATAGGAATAATTTGCATTTTTTGCAAACTTTTTGAATTATTTTAAAAAAATTAAAAGAAATTTTCACAACTTATAAAAATTTTTTATAAAATACAGTGACCTTATTAAAACTTATGGCGTTATTATTCTTCAAAACTAGGAGTTTAAATTAAAGTCATTTTGAATATTTTTTTGTTAGACTTTCAAGCTTTTGCAATTTTTACATAAATTTTTTTTTCGCATTTCTTATTTTAGATAATCCATACAATTTAGTCTTTATTTGAATAAATATTTTCCTTTTCATAATAAATTTTGAAGCAATTTCTATTACTATTACAACATAATGGAACATTACATGATGTACACCAAAAATTAGATAATGGAGGTCTTTGCTCAGTTTTCAATAATAAGTACCTGCACAACATACATGAAAATCTTTTTTCTTTCCATTCTACAAAATGATTATCAGTAGTTAATCTATCATTAGGAAGTTGAGAATTAGAGCCCATTTTAATATTTTGATAATTAATTATTAATAACAATGCAAAAAATAAATTTTTATTGTAGCTTTAAAAAAAATTTTTCGACATCAATATAAAATGATTGGCATTAGAAGAAAATTTCATTCATTCACTTTGTGCAATTATTTTATGCAATAATCATTGTATGATGTTTGATTTTTTTTTATTATGATAGTGGCATGATCTCAAAAATTATTTTTCACTTAGAAAGTCATTTGTAAAAATTCATGTTACATGTGTTCCATCATTGGAAATAAATTTGCAACATATTTGTTGCAAATACAATTTAAGGGATAGGTATTTTAATTGGAATCAAAACATGGAGCAGATCTTGCTGGGTAATTATAAGATCCTTATCAACAACAAACAATTGGTATTTTGCTTTTGTAATCATTATCAATATTAATATTATAATTATAATAAATAAATATTTAATTAGAAGTCAAGGCAGCATGGCTGAAACAATTTGAATATGCGATGTTTGATTATTGGAAATTTTTAGAGATTTTGAAGCACCCATGCTACCTTGAACACTTACAGTCATTCTCATGTATTCCTCATGTACAAAAGGCTAATCTGACCATGCTTCTCCCGATGATATGATGATGTTGAAATCCAGGGTGGGGGATGCAAAGCTCTGGAGTTTACCAAGATTGCATCAATCATCAAAGACATTTCCACTAATCTTCCTAGACCAGAGAAGGCTGCTAGCATGCTACCTGCAACGATCCCTACTCTTAGGGTAAGGATGGCTCTGCAACCAAATCACAACTCTGGAGGAATATCAAGAGAATCTGCAGCTCATTCAAGTGTAGGAGGTTACAATTCAGAGTGAGGTTGGTAACCCTGAAACTGCATTTGGACTCTGATGTTAAGAGGAAAGTTGTAAAATAGTGTTTGTTTTGTATAATTATTTTCCTAAATTCTCTGTTTTTTTGATACTAACCAGTTTATAATTTTGGGTAGGGGACTGAATGGGTTTTGCCCAACCTGTCACTGTCCTATAGATTAAAATTATTGCATGATTATATATATCTTTGCCAGTAATATGGCCAACAAGAAAAAAGTTATAAAATGGTTCAGATTTTGGTATGTTGTAAATTAATCATTCCCATAAATTTTCTGTTTAATTTTTATTTGACCAATGGGGGCTTTTGCCCATATAATCCACCCTAGAATAAAAGAGTGTAGCTCAATGAGAGCATGTATCTCACAAGTATATATATTTATTATTTCCTTATGTATTTATTTACTATATTTATTATTTCCTTATTTATTTTACTTATTTAATTTATTACATTTTGTCATTACATTTTATTATTATTCTTAAATTGTATAGCATTATAATTAGTTAACTTTATTTAATAGAAATTAACTGTATATAAGAAACTTGAATTTGACCTACTTGTAAATGAAAACAGTACAATGTGAACTTGGAAACTTTGTGGAGAAGTTAGAAATAACTTAATTAGTTTCAACTAAATAAAATAACTTTGTAGTGGAGTTTTAATAATAAAACATTAACTTTGGGAAAAATAAATTAGTTTTGACTAATTATCTTAAACCAAAATTATTTGCTAATAAAAACTAATTCATTAGTAATAGCCAATTCATTCTGATCCACATAAACATAATAAACAATTGTTACCATCAATTAATTCATGCCCTCCCAAACATAATTGGTGACATTTGTTTTTATTAATACAGTGCAGATCATCTATACTCAAAAGTTAAAATATTTGAAATATCATGTGATCCACACATTGGATTTTTAAAAAACTTACCACCATTCAATTCAGCTTTAAAAGGGGAGTCTATTAATCTAAAAAAAAAATTTGTCACAAATTTTCTTTTCATAGGTTTTTTAAATTTGAAAGTTATGCTCAGAAGTGCAACAATAATTTTCGTGTTACAATAT